TTCATGCATTCTTTCCAAAAATCGGGACTTTTTTAAAATGCTGCTGGATGCAGGACAAATTGTTCAAAAGCGGGACTGTCTGGCCAAAAGCAGGACGTCTGGTCACCCTAGTTTACATGAAAGACCCCTGCTGGGGGTGCTGAGAGGCAGACTGCAGGACTGGGGGCAGTGAAAAAAACTTTACAGAGCAAAGAGGGGGCACTGTTCAGTGGGGCTCTGAAGCCTGCATAAGAGTCATCTAGGTGCCTACAGACAAGCAGGACAACCCCAGAAAGTTCCTCCATGTGCAGAAGCTGTCTGGGCGGGAGATGGCAGAGTGGTCAGAGCCAGGTGGTGAATGGGCCTGAACCTAAGCTGCAGCTCTGCCACTTTCCAAGTGTAGGACATTAGCCCCCAGTGGCCTCACAAGCATCACAGGCTTCAATTCTCCATCTATCAACTAGAGGTGATGGCACTCTTGACTGGAAGAGTGAATGACCATGTGCAAATGACACTTAAAACAGAGCTTGCGCCACACAGGATTATTTTCCACGGCTTACATCACGACTGTTACTATCATCATCAAAGGACTCTGTAGGTATTAATGGTTTGCCTTGGTTATCCCTGCCATAGAGACAGGCGTATAGGAGGCTTTTCTAGTTAGGCTGCTTGATACATGTCAGGGGGAAGCTGGAATGAGCAGGTGGGAGAAAAGGAGGCAATAAAATGTATTAGACCTTGTCCACAAAGCACCTACAAGCTGATGGAAAAGCCAAGGTCAGTGTAGCTACCTAATTTGGTCCCATGTGAATCTAATTTCACATTTGTGGAATTTTGAAAGGGGACAAGTCTGGCTACATGGTGGGTCCAGGATTGGCTGTGAGAACCCTGAGAAGAAATAAAACACAACAGAGAGAGAGACAGAGAGAGAGAGCACGCGCGAGCGCGAACCAGGGTATCACAGACCAAAGAGCCTATAATCTGGTGGCCTGAACTAGGTCTTAGCGAAATCTATTCCATCAAAACTTCTGAAGTAAATGACCCCCTTTGGAGGACCCTAATGTGGGGCAATCACTTCCTAGGAAATCACAATACCATTATAGAGTATTAATACTAAATAGCCAGCTGACAGAAGCGGGGGGCCATCAAGTTAAAAGCTCAGGCCTGCGGTCTTATTGAACGCTGCAGGGTATGAATTGAGAGCATGTTCCCCACTACTTTAAATTTACTGGGGCTACAGCTTTGTCCAGCAATTTCATTTACATAACATACCTGCAATCATTTTCTTAAATCTCTAATCTTTTTCTCTGAAATAACAGCATTAAGTTTTGATTGCTATTTTGTTGCTATTTTGTTACAGAGAATCACCAAAGCGGGAATGTAAATATAATCCACGAGAGATGCTATCACTTAAAAGGAGGCTGTCCTGACCCAAGACAAGGTAATGGGCCGAGGCTTACAGTAACACCTCTCAGTAGGTCTCGTCTTGTCATCAGTGACTGACTCCAGGCCTTTTCCAAATTCCAAGCTGGGGTCTTAGAGGCCAGCACCTGGACTTGTGTTGAACCCCATCAGGAGGTGCTATGGATGGGAGGAACCCTGGGAAGACAGCAGAGTTCTAAGAGTTCTAGGCCCTCCAACCTCAACTGCAGAGACTCCTGGTCTCTTCCACCCCCTTCTGTACACAGGAGGACACTGAGGCCCAAAGATGAAAGATCCAGCCAAGGTCACCTAGGCAGGAAGGGGTTGGGCCAGGGCACAGATCCTCTGTGCAGGTCTCCACACCAGCTGGCTGCCAGACTCCTGGGCGTCTTTCCATCACAGACGCAGGGCTCTGAGAAGGTGCTCCCAGGATCATGTATTTGTTTTGAGAACCTACTGCCTGCTAAGCATGTTTGACAGGGATTAGGTGGAGAAAGATAAATACTCTTACCTCACTACATGAAAGCTGCCTGTTAACTTAGTTTTATTTTTCACAACATCAAAATAAATATCAGTAAATCACCAAGCATATGCCAATATCCCACTGTGGTCAGAATCATCCAGAGAGTTTGGTTTGCTTGTTTGTTTTTGAGGCAGAGTCTCACTCTGCTGCTCTGGCTAGAGTGCCGTCACATCAGCCTGGCTCACAGCAACCTCACACTCCCGGGATTCAGTGATCCTCCTGCCTCAGCCTCTTGAGTAGCTAGGACTACAGGCGTCCCCTTAATGTCGGCTAATTTTTTCTATTTTTAGTAGAGATGGGTTTTGCTATTGCTCAGGCTGTTCTTGAACTCCTGAGCTCCAGGGGTCCTCTTGCCTGCTCCCCACCCCCCAGTACTAAGATTATAGGTATGAACCACCGCCCTTGGACCTGGTTGGTTATTTAACACAGAGTCCCGAGGCCTCCTCTCAAATACTGTGATTCAGCAGGGGTGGTGAGAGAAATATTGATTCTGAGTTCCCACCAGGTTGTGAGAATCAGTATACAACACTATTCACGAGCTTGGGGATGACAGTTTACGGTTTGTGACAAGTGCTAGTCATGGGAAGGATGTGAAGCCACTGGAGAGGAAGGAGGGTAGGGGAAGAAAGAGGGAGAAAAGGAAAAACACTGGAGAGGAAGTGGGAGGCCCAGGGAGAAGGCAGGGCGGAATCAAGGAGTAACCTCTCTCAGTCTCCTGCCTTTATTGAAATATTCAAACACACATTCTATAGGTCAGTCAAGATGATGGACAAGAACTTTGCTTTTATCTGTGCTTCTTTTTTTTTCAACTTTAGACCAATGATTCTAAAACAAGGATCCTAAGGAGTACTTTTCAGTTGTGGAAAAAAAAAAATACTTGCTTACATATCTGAGACTATAAAAGCTAAAAGAATCACACTTTTTTTTTGAGAGAGAGAGACTTTGTTGCCCTCAGTAGAAAGGCAACATAGCTTGGCATCACAGCTCACAGCAACCTCCAACTTTTGGGCTCAAGTGATTCTCTTGTGTTAGCCTCCCAAGTAGCTGGGACTACAGGTGCCAGCCACAAGGCCCAGCTAGTTTTAGAGACGAGGTCTCCCTCTGACTCAGGCTGGTCTCCAAGTCCTGAGCTCAGGCAACCACCCACCCCGGCCTCCCACAGGTCTGAGCCACCACACCAGGCGCGGCATATTAAGCCATCAGTCCTTTGCCGCCCACTGGAGGCTGCACTTGCCCTTGGCCAGGCTTACCTTTGCCCGTCCTGCTCCTGGGCTTCCTGCTCCGCCTCCAGGCTGGCCTGGAGCCCTGACAGCTCTCCTCCGCTGCTGGTCACAGCGGCCAGCTTCTGCCTCTGCTCGCGAATCTCCAGCTCCAGCGTGGAGCGCCGCTGCAGGGCAGAGTGCCTCCTCTCCAGCCTGGCCACAGCGCGCTCCAGCGCCTCCCTCTGCTGCTTCTCCCGTGACTCCAGAATCTCCTTTTCCTTCCTCCGCACTTTCTCTTCCTGGCGCGCAATGTTGGCGGTGAACTCAAAGGTGGCTTGCAGCTTCTGCAGCTGGCTGGCACTGGCTTGGTACTGCGCAAGCTGTTCCTCCTTTTCCTCCATTTCTTTTTCCACTTGATAGAGAGTGTTGTCTAAGCTGAGCGGGCCTCTGTCGAGGATCTCGAACGCTCTCTGCTTTTCTTCCTGCAGCGTTGGCAGGTGACTCTGCAGGAGGTACCGCAGCTGGCGCTCCTTGTACTGCAGCCTGTTCGCCACTGGCTTGATTTTCTCGACATCTGGAGCCCCCGGGCTGACACTGGAGATGCTCTCATCATCTTTTCCCAACAACCTAGACTCTTCATCGTTGCCATGTTTTGAATGCTCCAGGATTTCCTGTTCTTCTTCGACCTCTTTTTTCAGCAGGTCTTTCTGCTGGACCAGGTCCTTCTCCAGGTTGGCCAGCTTGATAAGCTGCCTTCTCTTGAACTCGAAGAAACGCAGCTGTGCCTCTTCTAACTCCCGGCCGTCCCCATCACCCGCGGCGCTGGCCTCCCGGGCCCGCAGCAGGGCCTCGCGGATGCCCTCCAGGGCCCCCTTCTCCTCCTCCACACGCTGCAGCTCCCCGCGCCGTAGCAGCCGGATCAGCTCCTGCTTCTCCCGCAGCTGCGCTTCCAGCTGGGCCACCAGCATCACCTGCTCCCTTTCTTGCTCCTCCAGCCTCTTTTTTTCCAGCTCCAGCTTGGCACACTGCTCGTCTTTCTCTTTCTGCAGCCGGTCCAATTCTTGGAATATCTGAATCTTCTCGGCCTTCTCGTTGGGGTTGAGCTCCTGGAGGCGCCGAAGCTCTCCCTGGATGCGGAGGAAGCTCTCTTCCTCCTGTTTCCTCTTCTGCAGCTCAATTTCCTGCTGCTCCCTCAGCCTTTCCTCTTCAAACTTCTCCTTCTCGGCCAGCAAATCCCTGAGCTTGCTCTCGATGTGGAAGCTGCGGCGCTGGAGGTTCTCCTCCTGCTCGCGGATCTGCAGCCGCGCCAGCTGCGCCTCCTTGCGCTGCGTCTCCACCTCCTGCTGCATCCGCTCCAGCTCGGCCTTGTCGGACTTCTGCTTTTCCTCCATTTCTTCTATGAGTTTCCTGAAATGCAAAGTGTGGATTAATTCTTATTTGATCATTACGTTTCAGCGCTGCTCAAACTTTCCCCTAACTAAACCCTTCTCAGGATGCATATATAACATAAAGCCAACACTTCATTAAAATCGAGAAGGAACTATTTTCCTTTTAAATTTCTAGCAGTTTCCTGTTTGAGTTTTTTTTTTTAATTCTTTAAATCCCCAATGTATCCTCTGCCTGGTCTCCTGAAGTAGCCCCTGATACCACTTTTTTGTAGAGCCTGTAATCACAATGTGTTATGCATGATATAATTTTAAAAGCCCCCTGAGCTCAAAGAGAAAGAACCATGGCCAATTTAAATTTAAATGTGAATAATTATTCAGCCCAATGACTAAAACTCAACAAAAGTTCAGCTACAAGATGATATTAAATAAAAATGCTTATGCTGTCCTTAACTCATTGGGGTCAAATATCAAAGTCAAGATAATCCACAGTTCATTGTTCCAGCTCAAACAACTACATGCTATTTAGCATTTAATCACTAGTTTGGGACAAATGATGATCACCAAATGGCCCCAAATATTAGTTTATTAGTGCATAACACTGAGAATAACTGGCGTCTCCATCAGAATACTCCAATGCATGAGTTAGGGAGTTATGCATTATATTTTCTCTTGAAGAACTAACAATCCTCACTGGCTGCTATGTCCAACCTTCCAGCCTGGGACGCCTCCCAGGCAAGAACTCGGAGCAAGAGCCTGGATGGGTGGCTTCAGTCTCCATACTTGGTATGACAGATGAGTTTAGCTGCAAACTGAACTAATGCATTAGTGACATGTAAACTCCAGACCCTACAAAATACACATCTGTGTTATTCTGCAGATTATCTGTGGCCTTAGTTTCTACTCCAGTCTCCATCGCTGGTCCATTTCTTAGTGTGTTAAATAGAACAGGAAAAAAAAAAAAAAAGGAGAAAAGATGGTTGTATCAAACAAAGTATTATTTCAGAATCTATATGGAACTCTCCACATTGGTTAGGCAGCCACACGAGTGCACACAAACGAGAGCATGCACAGACACACACACAAAGTGAGTGAAGAACTGAGAACTGCGGGTAGGGAGGCACCCAGGGCTGAACAACGTAAAACAAAGTGTTTAAAAGGCTGGAAGGCATAAGGAAGGGAAATCGTCATTCTCTTGGCTTTTTGAAAACTATGGGGATATTACTTAGAGGAGATACTCTTTTGACAAATGCAAACAGATATCTGTATGTGTGTGTATATATATATTTGATGTATTTAACTTAATTGGTGTATTAAATTTGCATAATGACTGTTCTCACTTTCCCACAAATATTTAAAGATTAAAATTAAATATGAAGTAAAACCAACCAGTTAAAAAGAAATGACCTATGGACATCAAACATGTAACTAACAGCCCCCACACAGCAAGAGGGAAGTCCCAAGGCAGACACGCTGAGGGATTCAGTCCAGGAGTAACACTGGAATCCAGAGCCCCAGCAGTGTTGAAACTAGAGCCCACGTTTAGCTTACCTTTTACTTTCTAATTTTTCAAGTTCTTCACGCTGTTGCCTCTCAAATTCAAGTCTAATAAAACCAAATAAAAATTAGTCACTTCTGTGAAAAAGCTTTTCTCTTTCTTTGTATAGTAAGCCATATATTACAAAAAGCATCAGTTTTTCAACTATTATTTTTAATTATCACCAATTAGCAACTTTAAAATGTATTCTTTGTTCTATGACAATGATTAGAAATTACACAAACTTTTGGGTACTTCAACTCAAGAGTGAAAAGAACAGGATTTATTTGACAAAAAATAAACAAAAAACACTGTACTGAAAAGGCAAAGTTAAATGAGACTTCTAAATGATAAGCACATCTATGCCATGCAGCTTAGCCACTGATGAATATATAAAAAGAGAGAATCTCTACCTTAGACAGATGGGTCCTTTTACAGGGAAAAGACTGCCAGGGAGGTAGAGAGAGAGAGAGCACAGGCATCAATTAGGGAAAAAAAATTAACAGGAGGAAACATCAGGGGAAAAAGCAGTAAGGTACTTAAAAGCTAACAGCCATGTACAAATTGAAACATCTTTCTGTAAATTTCACACTTTCTCAATAGTTTCACAAAACCACCACTCCAAAAAGGTAGCTGTTATGCTTTACACACTTCTCATAATAATCATAAGAGTGATAATAGCTGCGTGCCAATGATGATTCAAAACGATAGTCGAAGTCTTATTTTACTACTTTATGGATAGTTATACTGCACATAGGTTTTTCCAGATCCTTCCAATTAGAGTTTATGTGGCACAGGAGTTATTGCTGCGGGTTATGAGACTGTGAAAGATTTAGCACAGCATTTACAAAATAAAGGGATCTAGGTCATTGGGAATTTTAAAACAACTTACAGAAATGTTGATAACGTGAGTTGGTTTCTTCTCAAATGCTAGATTTAATTATCCCAAGTTTTCACTATTCCTATTGAACAGTATGAACTATAACACTTAAGCATTTTTCTATTATGGTAGAAGAGCAGCTATAGCTAAAGAGCTGAACCACGGAAAAATTTACCAGAAATTCTTTTCTACAGGTAATGTACAAATCCACATTGGTAACAGAGTTGCTCAACATTGAGCCAACTATATTCCAAACCTCTTTACAACTTAATCTGAGCCTGTAATGAGATCCACGGTGTCTGATGTCTCTGTTAGGTGGCAGCTGTTGTGATAAGTGATTCATATGTGTTTTCTCCCTTTGTCAGCCGGCAAACTCCTTACAGGTGAGGAATCCCAAGGTTTAGACCTGTTAAATAACTTGTCCACAGTCACAGTGGTAATGTGCCAGGGCTAGGATTTGAACCTACGACAGCCTGCTTCCAAAATGCCTTCTCTTAACTCATTTTATGAGCTATATTTAAATTTGTGATATAAAACAAAAGCATTAAATCCTTTACTGAAACTTGTTAATTGGGCTTATATGTATCCTACTGCCAAATGAAAATAATCTGTAGCTTCTTATAGACATTGTCATCTATGAGAAATCAGTCCCATAAATATATATGAAAAGTATTTGCCAGTTATGGAGGCCAGCCCATATATCATTAGATTAAGTAGGTTCAGCACTTTGTTAAAATTAATATATAATCATTCTCTTTTATTTAACAATAAATAGAACGTTGGGAAAGTTTTTGAGTTGGTATCTTCATAACTTCAGCATATATAGAGCTATGTATGCACAGTCTATGTATATATACAGTGATATATACATAGCCTTTCCAGAGATATTTACATAGCCAAGAAGAATCACTGGATAAAATATCATTTTTTTTAAGAGATGGGGTCTCACTCTGTGGTTCAGCCAGGACTATAGTGACACGATCACAGCTCACTGCAGCCTTGAACTCCTAGGTTCAAGCAATCCTCCCACCCCAAGTAGCTGGGACTCCAAATACATGCTACCACATCTAGTTAATTTTTTAATTTTTTGTAGAATCTTGCTTGTTGCCCAGGCTGACCTTCAACTCTTGGTCTCAAATGATCCTTCTCCTCCTGCCCATCAAAGTGCTGGGATTACAGGTAGGAACTATGTGCTCAGTCACAAAAATCACTGGATAAAATACCTTTTAAAATAATAGAGAATTTCCCTACTAGAATTGTCTTTATTCTCAATTTTTGTTTTCTGTAAGCAACAGGTCAACATGCCAATCATTAGACCATGTCACACATGCACAGTTATACGCCAAACTCAGGGAGAGCTCAAAAACAGCACATTTTGGTTTGCTAAGGAGAAGTGAAAAGACACAAAGCTCAACAGGACAACAGATGCCAGATAGTGAAGTTATGCTACTAACACTGAAATTGACCCTAAAGGCAGCAGCAGGATAGTGTCTTGGAGCAGGCTGCTGAAGGGCACACCTGCCCCTGGTGTTCTGTAGAGAACAGGTCGGGGGGCAATGTGGATGCCCAGAGTTGAGTTAGTGGTAGTCACTTAAACAAGAGGTGGCAGAGGCAGGATCTGAGACAACTGGGATGAAGGCGTGAAGAAATCCTCCGAAGTGCTGCAAGTCCAGCTGACAGAAAGTGATAACCAGCTAGGTTTGAGGGGTGGAGAGGAGAAAAGAACAGTCAAAGATGACCATGAGTTTCTGGCCAAGTTCCAGTGGGGTGGGAAGGCAGAAGGTAAGAGGTCAGCGGTCTGAATACAAATTCTACTGGTTGTAAGACCACATACAAGTTATTTAATACTGGATGCTTCATTTCCATAGAGGTTGAAGCAAGTAACAGGTCTTACCTCCAAGGGCTGTAGCCAGGATCCAGTGAGACGATACAAGCAAAATGCCTGTGCG